CCAATAATACAAATGTGATTCTGACCTCACCTACTTCTATATCTCATTTTTATTACTTTCCTATCTTTAATGTCCCTTATTAAACATTCACATCCAGGCCGGTCAAAGCGGCTCACACCTGTAATCCTAGCACTCTTTGAGGCAGAGGAGGGTATACTGACTGAGCTCACAGGTTCAAGACCATCCTGAGCCAGAGAGAGACCTTGTCTCTTAAAATAGCTGGGCGTTGTGGCAGACATCTGTAATCTCAGATGCTTTAGTGAATTTGTTTTTTGAGACTTTGCTTAGTGGGTATTCTTATTTTATTTTATTTTTTAGAGACAGAGTCTCACTGTGTTGCTCTCGGTAGAGTGCTGTGGCATCGTAGCTCATAGCAACCTCCAGCTCTTGGGCTTATGTGATTCTCTTGCCTCAGCCTCCTGAGTAGCTGGGACTACAGGCACCTACCACAACGCCTGGCTATTTTGTTGTTGTTGTTGCAGTTTGTCTGGGGCTGGGTTTGAATCTGCCACCCTCGGTATATGGGGCTGGCACCCTACTCACTGAGCCACAGGTGCCACCCAGTCTTCTCATTTTTCGTTCTTTCATCTCCAGGGACAATGACATTTCTCCTTTTCACATCCAAATGCCAAAGGGCCCTTCTACCTTCGTTTTTGTGCAGTTGCTCTCCCAGGATCTGTTTCAAAGATTGCGACTTCACCTCTCACATGTATCTTAAAATCCCCTCCCTGTATTGCCAGCTCTGACCTACTGTAGATACTTTTTAGCATTTTCAGGCTCAGGGTGGACTTTCAGTGACATTGAAAGTCCACCCTGTGAAACCGTCACATAGGTTTCAGTCTTCCTGGTCCCATTGCTAACTCCCCTCTTCTCTTTTCCCCACAGTTTTTCTCAGTGGTGTCGGCGCAATGCAAATCCCATGGTAAGGGGGAGATCATGAGCTGTCATTTGTTTGTTTTTAGTTGTAATTACTTTTATATCTGAGCATTCTTGTCTTCAAATTTGGGTAGTTATAACTTTCTTTTATCTTCATTCCTTATTTTTCCAGGCAACATTGGGGGATGGGGACCTATGCTGCCACCACTGTCTTCCCTCCTGGAAGTCTCTCCTGAAATACTGACTTTCCATCCTGCCTAAGGTGTAGAGTCCTCATGATCCAAAGTAGAATGTGGCCAGGAGCTGACACTGCTATAGTTCTTTTGAACAGGATGTAGAGACTGCCACCTGTTGTTTGCATTCTCATGCCTTGGAACCAATAGCTCTAAAAGGGCCATTGATCCTGATTATCAAGGAAGAAATTGTTGGTGCCACACAATGGAGACAAGGAGGAGGCTATCATACCCGGGGGATGCCCTGAGACATCTCAGGACCGCCAGGTTCAATGATGATGTTAATGAAAGACTCAAGTGACCCAACACAGGCAGAATTACCAAGGAACCAAACCCTTCAAGAATGATGGAGACCTTTGGGTCCCCTTATTAAGTAAAGATCCCTGAAGACAAAATGAACATGGAAGAAAAAATTAGAAATATCAATTGAGAGTTAACAGATAAAATATAGGATGCCAGCTGTATCTGAATTTTGAAGAAAAAACTTATTTTTTAGTATATGTCCTGTAAGCAACTAAAATATTAGTTGTTTCTTCAAGACTCAAAGTTAACTAGATATCCTGTATATTAGCTAAATCTGGCAACCCTAATTGCCTTGTAACTTGTTGCACAAAAGACCCATTTTTTTTTTTTTTTTGAGACGGAGCCTCAAGCTATCCCCCTGGGTAGAGTGCCATGGCTCAAGCGAGTCTCCTGCCTCAGCCTCCCAAGTAGCTGGGACTACAGGCTCCCGCCACAACGCCTGGCCATTTTTGGGTTGCAGCCATCATTGTTGTTTGGCGGGCCCGGGCTGGGGATTCGAACCCGCCACCTTAGGTGTATGTGGCTGGTGCCTTAGCCGCTTGAGCCATAGGCGCCTAGCCAAAAGACCCATTCTTTCTTCCTCGCATATAGAGATTAACCAATATTTTCCCCATCTTTCCCCTTGTTCCACAAAGTGTTACTGACGATTAACTTAATAATCCAGTGATACAACATACCAAGGTGAGATTATGACTAACCTACTTCAGCACCTCCATATGAACATGCACTTCCCAGCTGCCATGGCAAGGGAAGAGAAATCTGGAAAACTGGGCCCTGGCAATGACATGTTTTGCCCCAGAAACAACACTCTTCACTTTTCATTAGCCAGAGCTGGGCTCTAAGCCACACCTACCTGCAGGAAGGTGAGGAAAGGTCCTAGTGTATCTGAAGTAGGGACCCAGCAGCAGGTGAACAGCAGTAATATCTGCACAGGTGCACAAAGTAACTCATGGATGGGACTTTGGGTCTGTCCTTCGGGGAAGGATTTCTGTTTGCATGAGGGATAGTTAGCAAGGTGCACAGTGTTGTTGCTGAGATCTTTGGGAAGCTTGAGTGTGAGTATGTGTCACCCAGGATGCAAGGGGTGGAGTTTGGTAGCTGTCATGAGCCGGCTCACTCAATGTCCCTTCTTGGTCTGCCTTCCTAGGCATGCTGAGAGGATGTAAAGGCAAAAGCTTTTACTCAGACTTTGCTTAGTCAAGTCAAGCATATGCAGCCCCTGTGATTCAGCAGTTCTGCTCTGGTACATACCCCAGAAAAACTGTCACATAGGCCCATGAGAACAGCCACTGTGGCACAATTTGGGTGGGGATGAAGGGCTGGAGATCACTGGTGGCCAACATTGGAGGAGATAGATGTATGGGTGGGTAGACAGATGGACAGAAGGATGATCGCTTAGTCCTTACATGGACCAATTACTTTAAACTTAGGCTAAGGATTAACACCATCTTCTGCATGTGTGGGTCAAAAGAAAACTACATTTCTGGATTCCCTTGCCACTAGCCGTCTGTTTGAGAGATTGATTCCACTAATTGGATGCCCTCTACATGATGTGGATGGAAGAAATAAGTTTTATTTCCTTGTTTGCCCTGCAGGTCTAGCCCTGGAGATGTCTTTCATTAGCAGTGTCAGGTCTCTGGCTTTGTGGGTGTTAAGAGTGATGACAGTCCCACCCTGGGCCCAGGATCCAGGCCTGGGTACACAGAAGGGGTGGACTACAGATGGGAAGTGGTTCTAGAACTCAATAGGTCCAGAGTGGCCTCCTGGAGGCCCACTTCTTCAGCTTTCCCAGGGACGTTGTAAGTTCCTAATTTTGTCTTAAATCCTTTTTTGCTGAAAACAGCTAGAGAAGTTTCCATTTCCCAGAAATGACCCCATCCGGAATTGGGGTCAGTGGCTTGGCCAGGTGACAGCAAGTTACTACCCAGCTCGTTTGACACAGGCCTAAGTTGGCTTGTAACATTTTCCCCAGCCCCTGCTTTCCTCTCCTGGCTACCCCATCCAGAAGGGCAGGGCTGGCCCCCAGGAAACTGTGGGCTGGCAGCCCAAGAGGCAGGAGCAGCAAAGCCCATGCCACTGGTCATTCCCCCACCTGGCATTGCTGACTCCTGCTCCTACAGCATCGAGGGCACTGGCCCAGGACTGAGAGCCTGGGGGACTCTGTGGCCTTTGCCGAACTCTGCTCTGATAGCACATAGCAATGTAAACCTGTTACAGGATGATAAAACACTATTACCAAGCTCTGCACTTGTAGCTCAAGTGGCTAAGGCCCAGGCCTGCCAAACGATGACAACTATAACCAAAAAATAGCTGGGCATTGTGGTGGGCACCTGTAGTCCCAGCTACTTGAGAGGCTGAGGCAAGAGAATCACATAAGCCCAGGAGTTGGAGGGTGCCGTGAGCTGTTATGGCACAGCACTCTACCCAGGGCAACAACTTGAGGCTTTGTCTCAAACAAAACAAAACAAAAAACCAAACACTATTCCTAGCCAGCTAAGTGACCTGAGGAAAATCACTCAATCTCTCTGGCCTACAGATTTCTTCATCTGCAGGGCCCTGCTGGGCTGTTACAAGGATGAACTGAGGCAACACACATGTGCTCGCAGTAGAGTTGGTTTCAACATACCTGAATGTCTTGCATATTTGGAGAAATGTACTAGGTGAACTGATTCTTACCTGGGAAGATTCCTGAGCACAAATTAGTTTCCTCAGGGGCTGAGATTAGGACAAATCAGCTTAGTTTTAGTCCAGATCATGTGGGTCCCTCTACCAGCCCCCAAACCTTACTATCAGGCTCCTATCACTGGCTCCAATCAACAGCCTGAGTACTCCAGAAAAGGCCACCTGGCCACTATGGCCTGTTTCTGTCTGTTGGCCCATCAATTGGCCCAGACTGAGCTCCCCTGGGCAGGAACCCCGAAAACCTTGAGTTGAAAAGCACCAACCCACAGATCATGAGCCCCAAATTCCAGCTCCATCCTCCTTCCTAAATTGCTGAGTGGTGGAGGGCAAAACCAGACTGCTTCCCAGAGACAATGTTTTTTCTCCTGCCTCCTAGGCAGGGATTCTGGAGAATTCAAGCCTCTCTGTGAAAGAACCATGGAGTGCCGTGGTCCTGGGATTTAATCTGGAAGTTTTCTTAGTGCCTAATGATCCTACTATAGTTTGAATGTTTGTTCCTCCCCAAACTCATGTTGAAATGTAATTGTCACTGTAGAAGTATCAAGGTTTGGAACCTTTAAAATGTGATTAGGCCACAGGGGCTCTGCTCTCATGAATGAATTAATGCCATTATCATGGAAGTGGGCTCTATAAGAGTTTGGCCCCCTCTTGCTCAATGCTTGCTCTCTCTTCCTCTCACCTTGTGGCTTCTACTGTGGAATGATGATGCAGAAGGCCCATATCAGGCACCAGCCCCTCAATCTTAGACTTCCAGAATGTGAACCAATAAACTTCTGTTCACCACAAATTACTCAGTCTCAGATATTCTCCTAAGGAATAAAAATGAACTAAAACAGACTTCCCATCATGCCCCACTAGTGAGCCTGTTTCCAACCAGGCTCCCCACAAAAAAATGAGGGTCATTGGTGAATGTAGAATCTTTGGGAGAACAGCTACATGAGGGTGTAACTCTTCTAGCTTTATTAGCCCCTCATAGGTAAGTCCCCACAAGGGCCATAGCCTTGCCCCCAGCTGGCCTCTGGATTCAGACAGCAGCTGACAGCCCACGGAGGTAGTTTCCCACCAGAGGCAGCACGGCCCAGTCATCAGTCCGCAAGACCACAGGTGCTCCGTCTCCCTGGGCCCCCTCCAGCCGCATCAGTAGCCTTGAGTCTGGGGGCAGGCGGATGGCTATGCAGTAGCTGGTGGGGGGCTGGGCCACTACCACAAAAGGCCTCAGGTGGTGGGACACCAAGGGCTCCAGCCCTTGTGGCCCAAGTGGGCACCACACACGACTCTCAGTGCCCTTTGGCAGGCAGGAATCCCACAGCTCCTCAAAGAAACCTGGCCTGGCCCCCTCTGGGGGCTGGGGGAAGGGCAGAAAGAGGTCAGCAAAATTCACAGACAGGGGTGGCAGGTGGGCATGGCATGTGAGACCAGTGGATGTGGTGTAAAGGGCATGGACATCCAGTTGTGCGGGGGCTGGGCGTCGGGGCTGCAATGGCAGGAGCAGAGGGCGGACAGGGCGGTTGGGGCACAGGCAGGGCACGTGGATAGCTTCCAAAGGTGCATAGATCTGTCCTTCCACACGAAAGCGCAGCTCTAGGGAGTAGACGGGCTCCAGTACCTCCACCTGGAGCTGTAGCACTGGGAGTGGGCCCTTGATCTCTCGGGACCCCACACTCAGCCGCATCGGAGCTGGGGCCTCTTGCACCATCAGTGCTGCTGCAAAGCCCTGGTTCTCGGCCACCAGGGAAGAGGTTAGTGCAGGTACAGCAAGCGAGGGGGCCAGGGCTACTCCCAGTTTAGGCCGTGCCAGGTGGGCCAGAAGGATGTAATAGAGGCGGGCATGGTCCCGCCCATCAGGGTCCTCCAGCTGCCTAGCCAACACCTGCAACAAGTCTGCCAGGCCATCCCCACCACCTGCTTGTAGCAGAGCCCGGCAGACCCGTAGCAGGGCCTGCTGTAGGTCCCATCCTGTGCAATGCCCAGCTGCAGCCTGTAGAAAACTCAGAGTGGCACACTGGTCACTCCCATTTGCCACCTTTGCCAGTATTTGCAGGTGCCAGCGAAGAGCCTCATCCCTGCCAGGCCTGGACACTACCTCCTGTCGCAACAACACCCTCAGAGGCTCTCCCAGTTCAGGGCGCACCTGACCCAAGAGGTCTACAAAGTGGGGAGCTAGCACAGGCCGGGCTTGGTATAGCTGGGCCAGTCCATGTATCAAGGGTGTCAACACTGTAGGTTGCCTTGCCAGGCAGTGGGCAACCAGGTATGAGGCCTGGAAGCAGAGAACTGCCAAAGCCCGTGGGCCCCCCTCCAGAGCTGCCCTTTGCTGCAAACCGGCCAGCAGCTCCTCCAAGGAGTGCTGTAGGCTCTGAACCTGGTCTTTCTCTTCTTCCTCCTCTTCAGCACAGAATAGGCACAGCAAATGCAGGCGGGCCAGGAGGGCCATTGGGTCGTGCAGGAGACTGGGCAGGAGACCACGGCACATCTGGGGCCTTAGCAGCAGTGGGGCAGCCTCCTCACCTTCTGGACCCAGTGGGCAGTTCTCAGGGAAGTTCAGGAGGCAGTGCAGGTAAAAGAGATGGGTGGGCGGGGGCAGGGCTGGGTGCTGGGCTGCCAGAGTGAGCCTCCGGAGCAGCAAGGCCTCATCTTGGGCTGTGAACAGCGCCTCACCAAAGGCAGCCTTGAGAGCAAGAACAGCGTGCAAGAGCGTCATCTGTGCTGTGCCCAGCAGCCGTACTAGCTGCGGCTTGAAGAGTGCTGGTGGCTGTCCTTGCAGACCCCGTAGGGCCCAGCCCAGCAACCAGAGAAGCTGGGCTTGGGCCACAGGAGTAAGCAGATAGGTGATATCCAGCAGTTGGGCCACAGCGGCCCGCACCTCCCGAGCCTCCTCAAGGTGGGGTTCTCGAGCTGCAAGGCCATGCTTCCCCTCCTCAGCTGCCTGCCAGCTGGGTGCTTGGGGCTGAATGTGGGTATCTCCCTCTTCAACAAGTGTCCAGTCCCAGAGACCACCCTTAATGGGGGACACCCCAGCCATGAGCAGGCCCTGCAGGCCAGCCCCAGCCCTGGACTGTACCACTAAGATGTTGCGCAGAGCAAGTGCCAGCAGCAGGCTGAGGGGCTGAACAGGGCCCGCCTGCCCCAGCAGGCCCCGCAGAAGCCCCAGGGTGCCCCCCAACAGGCCTGGCTTACAGCTCTCCAGCTCTCGTAGGCACTCACACGCCGTAGCCTGTAGGGGGCGCTGTTCAGAGGTGGGGCCAAAGCCTGGTTCCAGATTGCTGCCCGAGGCCAAGCCAAGCAGCAAGGGAAGGAGCCGGCAGGAGGCGCCCGAGGTCGGGCCCAGGGCGCCTCCTGCCGCCAGGGCCGTGGTGGCTGCCAGCAGCAAGAGCCTCCGGAGAGCTGAGGGCCGTGGGGGTAGAAGGACTAGGGTATCCAACAGGGAGGTTGCGGCCACCTCGGCGGCAGGAGCGTCAGGCCACAGCTGGACTGGGTACTCCAAGGTCAGGACCAGCAAGGACACCTAGGGATGGGGGTTTAGGAGGGAATCACGAACATGAGCCTCGGGTAGCAGGAAGCTAGGGTAACCGTACGGACCAGGGTAGAAGATACGTGCGGGGCCTACCTTGGTCTGTTCACTCAGCTTCTCACTCCTCAGGTCGTTCAGAAGGTCGCGACCCAAATCCTCACCCTTGGGCCCTGTCATGAAGGCAGATGGGCTGGCCCGGAAGGCCGCCAGACGCTGGGCCCAGGCTTCCCGGCTCAGGGGACCCATGGTCCGGCGCGCAGGTGTCTGCGAAGGAGCCTGGAGGTAATCAGAGAAAACGTGCGCGGCCCAGCGGCCGCCAGAGGGCACCCTCCGCCACCCCGAAGGGCTACCATCCCCCCCGCCCCCGGGCCATCTCGCAGATCCCACCTGGGACCACGCACCGGGTCCCAAGACGAAACCGAGAGCTTTAGGGGGTGTAGCCGGTGCGGGCAGCTAAGTACCCTGCGGGCGGGAGCGCGGGCGAGCAGAGGTGGGGCGCCGGGCGGGCCGCCGGCGCGGATGCGTGCGGAGCGCTCATTAGGCTGCTGCGGCCGGCACCGAAACCACAGCGCCGCCCGGGGCCCCGGCGCCCACGGTAACGGGCTCGCTCCCTCCGCCTGACTCAGCCGCCGCGGGCGCTCGGCGGGCCGGCTCCTTCCGCGCGGGCGGCCCGGGGCGGGGCGCGGCGCGGCGCAGGAGTGGCGAGGTCGGGCGGAGGCGGGGGCGGGGCGTAACGGGGCCTCCTCCCGCCCGCAGCCGGCAGGTGCCGACTCGCCGGTTTCGCTGGGGCTGAGTAACTGTCCCGCCGGCAGGCCCCCCTTCCCCGAAACCGCCGCAGGCCCGGTGGAGGTGGGTGTACCAGGTTCCCCGGCGCGGGGCCTGCGATCCCGGGGCCTTCCGGCGGACAGCAGCCCAGGCCCCAGCCGCCGACGCCCGGACGCACCAAACCCCGCGCCGGACGCGCGCAGACCCCCGAGGATGGAGTCGGATGCGGGTCCTCGGGTTCCCCAGGTGGCCACTGGGGGCGTGCGAGGTGCCGTCCCAGGGCGCACGCAGGAAGAGCGCGCCGTGGCCCTAGCTGAACCGGTCGGGCGGGCGCCGTAGGGCTTGGCTTCGCTTCCCTGACGCCTGCCGGGCCCCCCACCCGCTCGGCTTGGGGGCGAGGAGCCGGCGCCCCGGTCGCCGCCGAGCCGGAGCTGCTGACCTTTGCCCGAGGCCGGCAGGGGTCGTGGCGGTGCCGGCGAGGCAGAGCCATAAGTCGAAGGGAAGCCAGGAAACAACGGGACCCACCGAGAAGGGCGGGTTGGCAGGGGCTGGCGGTCACCAGGCTCGCGGCACGCCGCTTAACAGAGTCATGGAGGCCGTGGCCCTGGAGGACAGCCGCCCTGCCACCGGAGATCTGGGGCCAAGCAGGGCCGCAACCCATCACTTCTGACTTCTAGAGGGCTGGCCCAGGGCTGTTTGGGGCTGGGTCTGGTTCAGATGCCCCGTTGACTCCCTGGGATGGTTTCCAGGGCACAGAACCGGGTGCAGGGCCACCAAACCTACCACCCACCGGCTTGACACGGATGAAACTAGCCTAAGCTCCCATGCCAGCTGCTGGGAACTCACTTCTCCACTTCCTCCAGGCTGTGCAAGTCCCTCTCTATCCCATCCTGTTGCAGCTCCAGATGGAGGATGGTGGGGAGTTGAGGGGTAGGCAGTGTTTGCAAGAAGGGTGTCTGGGTGCCAAGTGTGCCAACCGTGGGCTAGAGACAGAGACCCACCTGGAGGGAGGGACAGGTCCAGCCAGAAGGCCTGGTCCCAGCTTCTCTGGGTCCTGGCTCCACAGCTGAGTCACAGGTGCCCCAAAGCACTTCCCTTTAGGTGCCTCAGTTTCCCCATCTATAAAATGGGGTGATGACTCCCACCCAGGAGGCGGTGGGGTGGGGCAGCCTGGCTAATTAAACTTGAGATGAAAGAGGCCAGGATGAGAGAAGCCCTGAGGAGGGAAGGTAGTTTGGAGTAGGAGCCTGTCTGGTTTCCCTGAGGCCCAGAGGGTGCTGATAACCTCACATCCCTGGCTGTCACCATGCATGGTAAGGCAGGAATGATTATTGAACCCCTTTTACAGTTGATAAGACAGGCTTCCAAGAGTCAGAATGCCTGACCACCCCTGGCCCCAGCTCAGCCTTTGTTAGCATGGCCTCTTTAAACTACCAGCCTCTCTGAGCTCCTTGGAGCTGAGGGTCTGGAGGTGGGGAACCCACATGTGGTTTCCAATACTGTGACGGATGCAACCACACGGACTCACAGAGGCTCATAGCATCCTCAAGTACCAATAGTAGGTACCATTCACAGCTGAGGAAAAAGAGGCCCAGAAATGTCCAGTCACTTACTCAAAGTCATAGAGCTACTCAGGTGGAGCCTGGACTTCAGCAAATAGCCCCTGCTCATCCCCCTACACCAGCTTCTCTCAGCCCTCTTGAGTGTCCAGATCCCTGGATAGTCCCTGCTCTCACTTGTTTGCCCAGGTAGGGGTCTGCTACCCTATGGGAGGTTAGTACTGGCTCTGTCCCTGGCAAAGGCCAGGCATAGAGCTCAGCCATCATCAGCCCCAGCTAGGAAGAGAGTGGCATCCCAGCCACAGGGGCACAAGTATGGGCCACTGCCCAGTGGCTGGGCAGCCAATTTTCTTTTCTTTCTTTTTCTTTTTTTTTTTTTTTGATTATTAAATCATAGCTGTGTACATTAATGCAATCATGGGGTACAATGTGCTGGTTTTACACACAATCTGAAATGCTTTCATCGAACTGGTCAACATAGCCTTCATGGCATTTTCTTAGTTATTGTGTTAAAACATTTATATTCTACACCTAGTAAATTTCAGGTGTACCCAGTTTTCCACTTGATGCCCTCACTGTTTCTTCTCTTCCTGCTGAGTTTCTGTCCTCCCCCATGTAGCCCCATTCTTGGGAGACACTTGACACAATGCTTGGAAAAGGGAAAGTCAATTTCTTGAGGAGTCCTGAACCTTGATTTTCTCATCTATAAAATGTGAGATACAACTAACACAGCTGCTGGCTAGGATGCTTGGGTGCTGAGGATCCAGGGACACTTTAAAAAGGAAGAGTCAGTAGGCACATTCATAAAGATATAGGGTTCCAGGGTGGGGGACTGGGAGGAACGGAGAGTGACTGCTAATGAGTACAGGATTTTCTTTTTTTTTTTTTTTTGAGATAGAGCCTCAAGCTATCCCCCTGGGTAGAGTGCTCTGGCATCACAGCTCACAGCAACCTCCAACTCCTGGGCTCAAGCGAGTCTCCTGTCTCAGCCTCCCAAGTAGCTGGGACCACAGGTGCTCGCCACAACACCCGGCTATTTTTTGGTTGCAGCCGTCATTGTTGTTTGGCGGGCCGGGCTGGATTTGAACCCGCCACCTTAGGTATATGTGGCTGGCGCCTTAGCCACTTGAGCCACAGGCGCCGAGCCGAGTACAGGATTTTCTTCTGAGGTGATGAAAATATTCTGGAATTAGAAAGTGGTGATAGTTGTACAGCTCTGTGAGGATATAAAGCCAGCAAAGTGCACAGTTGATAAAAGGGTGAATTTTATTAATTTTAATGAAACTATTAAAATGGTCTTCAAAAAGGAATCCCTCAAGCACAGACCTTGTGCTCATGGAGAGAACAGACAAAAAAAAGACAAACCAAAATATCAGAGTCAAAGATGCTACGGAGAGAAAAGAATAAGGTAATGGGACAGAGGTGATGGGGATAGGGCCAAAGATTTACCTAGGGTGTTCAGAGAGGCCTCTTAGAAGAGGGGACAATTGGCTGAAACCTGAATGGCAAGAGGCAGACTGTCAGTGAGTAGGGGAAAGTGTTCCAGGCAGAAAGTGCAGTTGGAGAGGAGGCCTGAACTGGGAGTAGGGTCTGTTTAGGGGATGTAAGAAATAGGCCATGTGGCTGGTCCCCAAGGACTCAGCCAGAAGGGAGTTGGGAGGTCACCAGGGGCTAGGGCATGCCAGGCCTTGGGCTTTTATTTCAGTAGCAATGAATCTCCTGGAGGATTTGAGCTGAAGGGAGACAAAGTCCTGACTTGGCTCACGTCAACCTTCTGGGCTCAAGTGATCCTCATACCTCAGCCTCCTGAGTAGCTGGGACTCCAGCTAATTTTGTTTGTAGAGATGTGGGTCTTATTATGTTGCCCAGGCTGGTCTCAGTTCTCCAACTTTGGCCTCCCAAAGTGCAAAGAGTGAACTATCATGCTCAGCCCCTGACTTGGGCTTTAATAGCACCTCACCTCACAACATGGCCAACCTGTACCTCCAACCTCAGTTCCTATCCCCAGTCGTACCCGGTAGCCTTTGGGTTCACCCCCCGACACACTGAGCTCATTCCTGCTCTGGGGCCTTAGCCAGCCTCTTTGTTGGTAGGCACGGCTGGCTCCTCCCTCACATTCAGTGACCCCCATCTGCTACTATCACCTCACTCTAGTCAAATGTTCTGCATTTCACTCCTCCCCTGTTTGCCCTGCATCACAGAATTCTCAGTGCCTAGCACACAGTAGGTGTGAGTAAATGTTGACTGAATTAGGGATGGATGAACAACATCTAGCCAGTCCTATGCTGGGTGCTGGGCAAACAGTGGTGAATAGAGAAGAAGGTGCCTGATCCCCACAGGGCTCACAGATAGCTCCATGTTTACCCAGGTTCTTATACATTGTCTTGTCCCGGAGCTGCCTGTGAACCACAGCCTGTGGGTCAAACCTAACCCACAAACGTGTTTTGTTTGACCTATTCCATGTACTTTAAAAATTTGAGCTAACTCTTAAAAATCAGTAGATTTCACTCACAAATCTAGATTTCTGGCTTTTCTTGGAAAATGGAAAGATGTGTCCATGTTGGGTTTTTGCATCTGCATAACAAAACTGTGACTATTTTTCAGGTAGGCACTTTCTCCACAGCCTCCCGCACTCTTCTCTCCCGGACAGCCAGTCTGTCAGTTGCCTTTTGTCATCGAATTTGTAGTGTTGTTTTCCCTTTTAATAAAGAAATTTGTTCTGTATCTATGTCTCTACCAAAAGGTGGAACATGGAAAGTAAATGGGTCACACAAGTCAAGAAAATAGGATATTCATTCAGCAAGTATTTATTGATAATCCACTTTGTGTCAGGCACAGCTGAAGATGCTGACGGAACAGCACAGACACAGCTTCCTCCACCCTTGGGGCTCCAGGCCACACTCTGTGAGTCTCTTATGCAAGAGGAGATGTTCTATTGGCTGGCTTCTCCCATTCTACTTCCCACCTGGCCTCTGGACATTGGGGTTGCTCCCCCATGAGAAAGACCACCCTGTGTCCAGGGCCACCTGTGAACATGTCACCTACCAAGGCCAGGCTGGCAGGGTCTGGCACAACAAAGTGCTCAATAATCATTTGTTGACTGAATAAATCAAATTCACTTCTCTCCTAGACAGCATTGTCAATGTTGTTTCTCCTGGATTTACCTAAAAAGATAAGCATGTAGTAGGTGCTTACTTCACGTCAGATGAACAAAAAGTCCAGGGTCAGAATAACAGCAGAGGCCTGGCAGAGGGGTAGGTGCAACACAAACACCCCCTGGCAAGAACTCACATCACCCTCCCAGTAACCCCAGGAGGTGGGTGACAGCATTCACCTGTGACACACAAGGAAAGCACCTTAGCCAAACTCACTCCAGGAGTCAGGGAAGAGGCTCACATGATCCCAAAGCCCATGGTCTCCCCACCCACCCAGGAGGTGCTCCGCAGAGGTGTATGGACAGGGCCTCTAGAAGCTTCCCTACTCTTGAAAAACTATCATCTTCCACCAGATGCCTAGAAGTCCATTCTCAGCTCCTCTTTTTGACTCCTGTGTGAATTAATTTATCAGACTCATTTCCTCCTAATCTGTTCCAGCAAACATTTAGAATGTGAGATATACATGTAGGAAAGCCTCTAAAATGTTGGTTTATTTTATTGGGCGTGGGGTGGATAGCTAAAATAGAGAGGGCGTCCCATCCCTGCCTCTACTAGCTCAACAGGTGAAACTGCCCAGCTGTGGCCAAAGTGCCACAGTTAAGTGCCTCATGGAGGCCACAGACTGCTTCCAGGCGTTTTGGGGGTGTGGGGGGACCCCTAGCAGAGCATGACCAACGCTCAAGGCTGAACCAGGGTAGGCTGCAAGAAGAAAGCTCTAGTGGCAGCCGCTGAGGAAGGAGGCTGGGGCTTGATCCTATTTGGGGTCCTTAGCTCCATCCAACCTTGCTGCATCTGAAATCCACCTACTAGAGACAAGGGGAGTTTTGAGGGTGTGTAAGCCCCAATGGCCAAGATGGACTCGTCCAGTTCAAACGCCTCTTCCTCCACGAAGCCTTCCCAGGCAAAAGACAGACTCTCCACTGCTTGGTAGTCGGGCCTCCCAGCCCACCGGCTTGCGTCCCTGCGTGCCTTCCCGCACGAAGCCGGCGCTGGGCAAATAACCTCTGGGCTGAACCACGAATTGCTCAGCTTGGCTCTTGGGATACAGGGTCGCATTCAACAAGTGAGGGCCGAGTCGCCGGTTCCAGCCTGGCGGCTTCGCGCCTCCCCAGGCGCCTCGGGCGTGCCAGACCCGGCCAGACCCAGTTGGACGAGTTTCATTTCATCACCCGCGGAGCGTGCGAGCGCCGGTGCAAATAACGTTGCCCCGTCTCCGCCCTGCCCTTCTCTTCTCCCTCCGAAACTTCTGTTCGCAAACGCGAGCACGCCCGGCCCAGAGGTCTCGGGCGGGGACCAGGCGGTCTAAGCAGCCGGGTGCTGGGTGCCCGGCGCCTGGCGCCCGCCCCCCGCCCCCGCCCGGCCGCCCCGCCCGGCCCGCGAGGCCACCTCACCGGCAGCGGAATGGAAACCGGTTCGACAGGTAACAAATAGGTGGGTTGTCACCGTTATTTCCCAACGCATGCGCTGTCGCTCCCCGGCCACTCCAAGCTAATTAGATCAGATCAGCCCCCCCACCTCCCCTACGCCCTAGCCACCAACACACACACCGCCGCGAGCCAATAAAGCGTGAACCCGTCCGTCCGGCTCGCACTTTAAGACTTCTCGAGCGGCCGCGGGGACGCCAGTCGAGCCAGAGGACGCTTACCTGCCGCTTCCCCCGCCGCCCGCTGCACCTGGCTACAAGGAACCTCGTTCGGAGGGTGGACGGCGACACTCGGCGGAGTTGGAAACCGCGCGCGCCGTCCGGGCACCGTCTTTTAGCTGAACGTGGGGGCGCCTTTGCGACTCCTTCCCTGAACCGTGCTCTCTCCCGCCTCCAGTCAGCCCCGGAAAGGTGGGACGGGTCCCGGCTGTAGTTATAGAAGCGGACCGTGCCCAGCGAATAGGGTTGGAAAATGCCCCGCGCGTTCCTAGTGAAGAAGCCGTGCGTCTCCACGTGCAAGAGGAACTGGAGCGAGCTCCCCGACGAGGAGCGCGGCGAGATCTACGTGCCAGGTGAGGCGGCCCTTCTAGCCCTTGGGCGCCGACCCGGGGCGCGGGGCTGGGGGCAGGGCCAGCGGAAGCAGCGCCGAGTGGGGGCGGGGGCCGCAAGGTGAAGCCCGCCGGGCCCGAGGGGTTTGGGGCCGCCTCCCCTGCACTGGCCCAAGCCGCAAAGCAGGGGAGGCAACGGGGTGTGTCACCGCTCAGGCGACCCTCGGCTCTCGCGTTGTAAATCCTGAAAGCCGGGGACTTTCATGAGGCGGGAGGAGGGCACTGGAGCGATGCCACTTTGGGGGGCAGGGAGCGAGCCGGAGTTTCGGTGGAGATTTGTGCTAAACGTAGGAAAAGACTCAGAGCCCAACCCGCGCTCATAGATTTCCCCTACAGTACTAGTGGCGGGTAGGGGTGAGGGTTCGGCGGCTCAGGCCGGCGGTCCCGCGCAGTACACCGAGACTGTGGCGAAAGCGCCCGCTTTACTCCGCCCTTAAGTGCCCTTAAGACAAAGGTGGGATCGAATCTCACCTGTTCGAAACGTAACTTCCTTCAACCTTGCAGAGGACACAACTGAGAGAAAAACGGTTTAAAGAAGCCCACCCCAAGCCAGGGTACCAGCCCCAGGGAAGCTGGTGTACTCAGTTTATTTTTGGCAGACGCCTTGACAGCGTCAACTGTGAATGAGTAACCCGAGTTGTTTCTTCCTCCAGTGGCGTCTTCCCATGCAAACCCTGAGAACACTTCTGTCCCTCTGTCCTTCCCCACCCCCACCAAAGTCTTTGGTCTGGAGAAAGCCAACTTCCTTCCCTACTCCCACCCCCCCACCACCGCCAGTCCTTGGGGGTGGGGCAGGGATGCACCGAACACCCGCCCAGCGCCTCCGAGGGGGGAGAGGTTGTAATTAACCAACCGACTTTGACCCTTGATCTGCAGGCTCCCTGGCACCGCCCAAACCTTGTAGGAAAGTGGGGAAATGAGGGCAGTGGTGAGGGGCCCTAAAGGGCTCTTGCCTCAGTTTCCCTTATGAATAAGCTGTGGAGGCATTGGTGTAGTGGTGAGGTCTTTGTGGCCTGACCTGCCAAGATCCAAGGGCCTATGGTGCTGGTGGGATGTTTCACCTTAATCTGCTCTCAATCACCTGGGCCCCTCTTCTGTAGCCTCCTTAAAACAGGGGAATGTGCAAGAAGGCTCTTAGGACCTCATTGGGGAAACTGAGGCAAAAGGGGATGTAGGCGGTCTCTTCACCTGAAATAAATCAGGATGCAGGTCAGGGCTTTGTGTACTGCTTCTGGCTTTGCCAAGTCCCTGGTTCTCCATATAGGGAAGGGCTACAGAGGGATGGAGCCCCCTTCCTTGCTTCTGCCTCCACCCCAGCCTGTGTTTGACTTGCTGCTTAGCTGCTCCTTGGGATCTGATAAACTGAACTTGGACTGTGTTAAAGGTGAGCTGAGCCTTGAGCCAGACTCAGTGTGCTGTTATTTTTAGTTTAATTTCACATCCCAATCACTAACAGATCATGTGTTGACTTTTACAAAGGACAAAAGTTCCATTTGTTCAAATCATTGACTTCCTTGAGTCTTAGTGATTTTCCCTACCACAGTTCCCATGGTGGGAGTGCCAGGAAGACCTGTGCCCCAGGAGCTGTCCCATCAGGTGCAGGGGAGGGCTTCTGGGTGATCCATGCCATCTACTACTGCTGTCCCGGTGAGGGAGACCTGTAGGCCACTTGCTCTTGTCCAGGACATTGGGTTGGGGGTCTGATCTCAAGGGTGAGAATTTGCCCTCATTGCTCGGGTGAGGGGAGAATCCTGTAGGATCAAGTAAAGGATAGAACTGACAGAACTTATTTTAACCTCTAAAAGCCATGTGGGCCACTGGAGAGTTTTCCATCAGTTTGTGGAAATGAGAAAGGGAATGTCCACAGTCCATGCTCGGGTGCCTGAGATGGCTGGAGAGACAGGAGTGTGTTTTGTGGTGGCCTGTTCCCTGGCTAGGCCATTTCATCACCAGCCAACCATGACCCCAGGAGCTGGCTAGGCACGTTTCCGTCACCTCACAGACTCCTGGCACGTTGTGACCGTTTAAGCACCAACCCTGTGGGCCCTGGGAGGTCTGGGGGAATATGGGAGCATTTGAGTTCTGACCTTCCCTCCAGGTTCCTCTGAGACCCTCAAAGCATCACAGGGACAACAACCTGGAAAGAGAAGGTTTTACTGGCCAAAGATGCTGGACCCCAGCCTGCCAACTCTGATCCAGGGCCCCAATCTGACAATCACACCAGCAGGCAGAATACTAGGGTTCCCACTCCCTAGGGCAGACCAGGGCAGAATCTCTTTCCTGGGAAGAGGTGGAAGCCAGCTCCATTGCCACCTTGAAGACCCAACTCCCCTCCCCACCCCACATCTCTCTTTTGTTACGTCAATATTGACTATGGAGTAACAGGGAGTGATGCTGGTTCCTGGAGGATGAACCCAGGCACCTGCGTCCAGGGAGTAAATTCCGCCTTGTAGACTGATGGGGAAGGGCTCCAGGGACAGAGCCGAAGCCAATTCCTCCAAACCCCAGCCCCTGCTGAGAGAAATCTCTGGTTCAGGAAGGCAGTTGAGGATAGGTCAAGCCCTGGGAGCAACCAGGGCCTCTCCCAGGCCTCCAGCCACCCCCTTCCATGCCTCCTCTCCCTGCTGGGCTGGCCAGGGTCTGCTCAAGCCCAGGAAGGCCAATGGACTATGCTATAAGAGACTGGAGCTTTAGGGAACACAGCTCAGCCTGGCTCTGCCGCTAAGTAGTATGGGAACTTAGGCAACTCTCTTTCATGGCTCATCAGAAAGCTTAGAAAGTCAGCTTTTGGTCCCAGAGTACATGTGTGTGTGTGTGGGGGAGGTTAGGGGTAGGGAGAGTTTAGGTGTCCAGCGATTATTCTAGTAATTCCTGGGAAGTGTTTGGCAGTGATGGAGATGCTTGCTGTGCTTTCTTGGAGCAAGGCTGGGAGAGTGGGTAGTCAAGAACAGTTTGGACCCAGGGATTAGGCTAGATGGGACTCCTACCTGTACCAGGGGATGCTGTCACCCAAGCTGTTGTTTGTCCTGAGTTTGGGTATCCTGAGATGGAAGCCTGCCAGACCATTTGTCCAGAATGAGAGCAGGTGAGGGCAAGTCCTTTGGCTGTGGGGAGGATGGCAAGGGAAGCCTGGCTGTTGATGAGGTCAGGGTTCCTTTGTATCATGGTTCATTTCAATGGGTACTGTTTGCAGTCCTGATGGGGTAGCAGCCTGCACTGGCTGGAGGGTGGGAGGATGCAGGGAAGCATAGCTCCCAGCAATTCTGGGCTGGGCAGGCTGGTGTGAGAGCTGAGGTGCAGGTTCACTTCAGTATGGACATAGTGGAAAATGGTTGGGAAAGGAGCAAAAGATACTGCATAATAGAAGAACTTCTGGTTGTTCACAGACAAAAGGCTGAGAGACCAACCCAGGTGTTTCTGAGGCTGCCCCCCTCTGCCAGTTGGCTGGTGCTCGATCCTTTCAGGTGACTGTTAGCTGATGTATAGGGACTGGGGAGACAGGCAGGGGGACACCAGCCCTTCCTGATAAGGAGCAAGGCTGCCATGGGGTCCTGCCTCACCTCTAGAACTAAACTGAGCTTTATGCCCCAGGGCAGCATTGACACCAGCACCTGTGCATTCAGCTGGAGCCCAGAAGGCTGGGTGGCCTTGCATCTCCTTCACTTGCTCTCCCCAGAGAGCCAGGGACCAGGCCTCATGCCCAGCCATGTCCTGAGGCCCTGACTGGAATAGGTAGGACCTGACTGTCTAGTGTTTGGGCCAGTAGCTTTCAATCTGAGAGAGAGGACACTTGTGAAGGGTAAGGTAGGAGATGGCCCTTACATGGGCAGCTGCTCTGAACACAGCCCCTGGTTGTCCTTGCCTCTGCTCTGGGCTTAGCCCTCAACATCACCAGGTAGAGGCAAGTTGGGCCAACAGGCGGGGAACCCATGAGCTCCCAGAGGGCATAAGGAGAGGGCTGGGCTGGTTTGGCCTTGCCACACTCCACAGCTGTGGGCGGGTGATGAGTAGCCACAGTGGCCGCCGCCTTACCGGAAACACCTAATTAGGGGACAGAGCAGCACAAGCAGGGCCCAACCAGTTCTGCTTCCTGCCTCCTGCCACTCAGGGACACTCAGTGATGGGGTGGCACAACAGTGCATACTCCCTGTGCGTGCGGCTGTGGCAGGGACACACGGGGGTGGCAGGGAGACTGGTTAGGCGGGGCAGGTGGGATAAGGCAAACATCCCCACCCTGGCAGTAGCAACACCCATCCGTCTCACCTGCCCCTCGCTCAGGGTACAAGTGGCCCAGAGTCTAACCAGGCAGGCTCACCCCCATCCCAGCCCCCAGCATCAGCACGGCTATGTTTATGTGGAACGAGAAGGCAGACAAGGGACACAGATCCAATCTGGTTTGGATCCTCAGGACCCTCACCTACCCTAAGCCTCCCCGCTCAGGTGCAGGGGAGCCCAGAACAGCCACTCATTCCAGACTCAGCTGGTCCCCTCACCTGCATGCACTCCTACCCTGCTGCTCTGCACAGCTTGGGGTCTCCCTCACAACGATGTCCAACACTGACAGAAAGGGTAGAGGTTCCTGTTCGTCTCTACCTGGATTGAGAAATGGAAACTGTCATCCAGCTTTGAATTCTTAGCCCAGGTCTTCAATAGCTGGTGACCTGGCACCACAAACTGCTGACACCTCACCCACCCTTGGCCCCAGCCCCATGGTTACTGACGCTCCCGCTGCAGGAGCCAGGCTGGGCTGCTACTCAGCCCTGAGAGGTGTGATGCCAGCTCAGAGGCCAGGCCAGGGCCAGGCACTGGTGAATCAACGCCCGGAATGAGGTGGCTCATTAAAGGCCCCCGGACAGACGGACGCCAGTGCCTGCAGGACAGGTTCTGGGCGGCGACGGGTGCATTCTTCTCCTCTCAGACCTTTGTTGTGTTTTGAGGGGGCGAGAGCCAGGGCCTCTCCCGAAACTTTGATGCTTTTATATGAACCCTTGCACCATGGTCACGTTTCCCTGCTTCCCCCATGTTCTTCCTATCCTGGAAGAAGGGCCAAGGGCAGTAGCCTTCCTGCCTGTGCCTTTGCCCTGCTCTCTGCCTCACTGGTCTGGGGACGCAAGGTGCAGAGGGCCTTGCTCATCGTTCTAAAATCCTATATCAGTTCCCCATTCTCCTCTCTGAAGCTCACTCATCCTTTCTGTCCGAGGGCACCCCCCTTGCTTTTTTTTTTTTTTTTGAGACAGGTCTCACTTTGTTGCCCTCAGTAGAGGGCTCTGGCATCACAGCTCACAGCAACCTTCACCCCTTGTGCACAGGCAATTCTCTTGCCTCAGCCTCCCAAGTAGCTGGGACTATAGGCGCCCGCCACAACACCTGGCTATTTTTTGTTGCAGTTTGGCTGGGGCTGCGTTTGAACCCGCCACCCTCTGTATATGGGCCTAGTGCCCTACTCACTGAGCCACAGGCGCCGCCCTCGAGGCCCCCTTTTGATTTTTCCTTCTAAAGGTTGGAAAATGTTCCTAGCTTATAGGCTTTAAGTACAGCATTTAGGCTCTTTGGAAGGAAAACCCTAACTTGAAACATTAGACTATCGCCCCAGCTCTGCTAGCTTCCAGCCTTGACTCCTGTGTCTCTCAAGAACACTCCTTGTCTTCTCTGGTCGGGACTAGGCTCACAGTCGGAAGCCAAGCCTCCCGGCCCTGTTCAGTTTTAGATGTCTGTCCAGGGAGCAGCCCTATCAAAGGGCTGCCAGGTATCGGTGCGCCACCGCCCAAGGGAGCCCAGCCCCACTGCTCAGTGAGCGGTCCCTGCTGTGGGGGAGGGTTGCAAAAGCCTGGGCAGGCCAAGACTGTTAGCCCATCCACCTGCTGCTCCTTGACCTCCTCCCTGCTCCACCCACTGGCCTGTTTTCCTATGGAGCTGGCCTGGCTAGATATGGGGAACCTGGAGCCCTGATGGGCTGGAGCGGCAAAGACTGGCAAGCCCGTAGGAGGAAGGGGCTAGGACCACTTGAACCCCCAAGGCCAGCAGCTAAATTTACTCCTCTGGATAAGGATGAGTCTCAAAGAGCCATTGTTAGGTGTAGGGCCTTTGTTGGCAGAGAGGGATGGACTGGAATCTAGAGGGACTGGCCCAGGTGGGGCAGCAGACAACTCTGGAGGGATAATTGGCAGGGCAGTTCAGTTCTCCCAGTTCCGCTAAGACACAAATTACTCAGTGGGCAGTGGTGCTTGGTTGGCGTCACCTGCAATTACCTTAATAGGGCATGAGGGAGGTACAGCGTGTGGTGGGTTGGGGGCAGCCCCACTCTGCTGCATGCCTGCAAGGGGAGGGATGGAGGTATCGGCTTCTAGCCATCTCACTGCTAGAACTATCAGAAATCCTACTGGATCCTCTTTTTTCTACCATGCCCCTCACTTGGCTGTTCTCTCCCTAGTCAGCCTGGGCTTCTGCCCACCCCAGCCCTACCGGGAGCCGGAACCGTCAGTGGCTGAACCCCCTTCCTGCCCCCTGGCTTTGGACATGAGCCTTCGGGATGCCAGCTATAGCATGGCCCCTGCGCCCTGCGTGGTGGCCCAGCTGCCCTCTGAAGACATGGGCCGCCTGACAGACCCCCAGAGCAGAGACCATGGTTTCCTGCGCACCAAGATAAAGGTACCAGGGGCATGTGTGTAAACCTGTATGCAGCCCATGAGACACAGACAGAGAGACTGACCTGGGACCTGGGCCAAAGTTTCTGCAGAGAAGTGAACTTAGCTGGATCCCAGATGGGGTCAGGGGAAGAGAAGTAGGTCTGAAGTTCTTTGGAGTCCATGTCCATGGTGGTTCAGTTGAGTTTCTGGCCACAAGAGGCAAGGAGAGCCATAGGAAGGGCTTCCTCTTTACACAGAAGTTCCAGGCTAAGTATTTAGATGTGAGCCTGGTTCTAGACCTTTCTCTGTGCTGCGTTGAGAGAGAGATGTGGAGTCAGGCACAGTGGTTAGCTGTTCCCTGAGGCGCATATCTGGCAATCACCTTGCCCAAGTCTGCTGCATCCAGTCCCTGCCACGTCCAAGGCCTTACATGTCAGGCAGGGCCTACACCAGCAACCCTACTATGTTCAGCAGCATAAGCAGTGAGGAGGACATGAGGTGGCAGAGAGCATAAAAAACAGGGCTGGTCCTGGCTGGGTCTGCGTTCCTGAAAGCTCCAGGAGCTGGGAGCATCTGCCGGCAGGGATCTAGTGGAAGGGTGCTTCTCATAGCACTGTCTTATGTGCCAAAAGACTTGGAGAGAACTGGCAGGGATTCCTGGCCTTCCTCTCCTCCTATGGAGGCCAAGTGTGTATTGTTACTTGGGGAAACAACTGAGAATTGTGCCAGGTGGTTGGCTAGAGCCAGCTGGGGCACTCCTGATTCTCACGGTTCCCTAAGCCCTACGTGGACCCTTCCACTACCCTCTAGACCTGGGGTCGGGAGGGTGTGGGGTGAGTACAGAGAGAGTACAGGACAATAGGTGAGCCAGGGAGAGTCCTGACTGACCCAAAGGCCTTGATTAGGTAGATTGGAAAGCAGGACAGAATGAGGGGTAGTGACTGAGATGGTGTGGAGTGACAGGTGCTGTGATCTCCTGAGAAGGAGGAGTTGCCACCAGTGATGTTGCCACCCACAGAGCACAAGAAACCTCCACAGTGTTCACAGAGGTAGAGCGTTGAGGCCCCATCACCCTGTGACACACATACCCATGCTGGTCACATGTGGAGAGCTGTTACAACTACTCTTAGCTGGACACTTTCAAAGGTGTCTGGTGGCATCTAGGATTTGTTTCAGATAATCCAAGGGGGGGGGAGATGAAACCACACTGGCCCTAAGTGACAGGGCATGGGGCTCATGCTGTTAGCCTCTAGCCTCTCCACTTTTGTATATATTTGAAGTTTTCCATAATTAAAAAAAGAAATCAAAAGAGTTTATAGGCAAGAATGTCCTCAGGATGGCAAAAGGGTTCAGACCATGCCACACAGGGCTGGCTCGAGTAAAGCATGAGCTGGGCTGGCCCACGAAGGGACTTCAGCCCTGCAGTGCCTGCCTTGGAAGACTGTGGCATGAGTATTTTTCCTGTGCCAAGGGGAAGAACAAGAGTGGATGAGCAGAAACTACAGAAACAGAGAAGTACCTGAGGATGAAATAGCTGCTTCTGCAGGTGGTGAAGGAGAGCCTGGTGGCAGTCTTGAAAGGGGACTTGGGAACCCAACTGGGAGCTGGCCCTCTGGTCCTTAGAGTGTAGGCACTGCTTTCCTCAGAGGCACTAGGGCTGGCACCTGTGTCTTCCAGTCTGTCAGCCTGCAGTCTCAGCTTCTTGATATCTGTCACAAATACTGTCCTTGCCCACAGGTGACCCTAGGGGACAGTCCCAGTGGAGAGCTCTTCACCTGTCACATCTGTCAGAAGACCTTCACCTACCAGCGTATGCTGAATCGCCACATGAAGTGTCATAATGATGTCAAGAGGCACCTCTGCACATACTGTGGGAAGGGCTTCAATGACACCTTCGACCTTAAGAGACATGTCCGGACCCACACGGGTAAGCAGAAGCCCAAGGCTGTCCGGGTGGTGCTCTGACACCAGGAGGGAGAACACCAGACCTGCCTGGGCACGTGGGAAGATTCCAGCAGACCTTGCTCTCCCTCAGTTAGGGGCAGTCCAGGAAGGGCATCAGAGCTCAGAACAGAAATTCTCCCAGTTTTATCCATTAGGACTTTTGATTTGAGAGCCACTCAGGAAATTGGTGATGGATAGGCCTCTCTCCATCCCTCTGTCCTAGAGTCAGCAATACTGTCCTTTGTGTCTGGGAGCTGCTGACAGGTTCTGAGGTCCCTGTCAGGTCTCTGATGCTGGCCTCTGTCCTCCCTGCAGGTGTGAGGCCCTACAAGTGCAGCCTATGTGACAAGGCCTTCACTCAGCGCTGCTCCCTGGAGTCTCACCTCAAGAAGATCCACGGCGTGCAGCAGAAGTATGCCTACAAGGAGCGGCGTGCCAAGCTGTATGTGTGTGAGGAGTGCGGCTGCACATCCGAGAGCCAGGAGGGGCACGTCCTACATCTGAAGGAGCACCACCCTGACAGCCCACTATTGCGCAAGACCTCCAAGAAGGTGGCTGTGGCCCTGCAGAACACTGTCACATCCCTGCTGCAAGGCAGCTCCCACCTGTGAATGGCACAAGCCTCAGGGATGCTCCCAGAGGCCCCGAGGGGGTTTGGGATCACCTCCCTGCTGCCCCATCAGTCCACTCTCCTGCGGCCTCTTGCCTGAAAACCAGTGAGACGGACTAGAGCTCCCATGCCTCAGCATCCCCCTAGGGCACACGTGCTCACTCAGGCCCAGCAATGAGCTCTGCTCATTTTTGCATTTTTGTCTTATGGGCACAGGCTGCTCCAAGCCTGGGAGGACATGTCTGAATGGGGAAGGGGTGAAGCCAAGGCTGCCTTTGATTAGAAGCAGCTGCCTTCAGAGACCCACTGTTCCTTGGCAGCAGCACTTCCCTCCCAGAATGACGTATGAGACAGGATCCTAGCACCCTTGCTTCTGAGTATAGGGCAGCGGCTATGGATCCCCAGTGGACAACAGAGTCGAGAGAGCTGGCAGAGAGCACCCTGAAAGCAACTGTGGTGGGGGGCTGGCAACGGCCTATCCATCTGTCAGGACTTCTAATGCTCAGGGTTCTGGGACACTCTGACAAAGAGAGGCACACGTGTGTGTGCACAGCTGTGTGTGCATGTGCATGTGTGTGCATGTGCACAAGCAGGAGGCCTTTCCACATATCACCTCATTTTTAAGAAATCGACTGCAAGGTGCCAAGGAGGTTTTATTTCCTTTTTTAAAAGATGACAGTGTACAGATATTAATATATTTTTGGTGCCACTATGACTATTTTAAAAGCAGGATGGAGCTGGCTTTTCTCCATTCCCATGCGGTTCTATTTATCCTGGACATTTCAAACCTCCTGTGTGCCTTGGCTCTGGGGGTGGCTGCCCCAGTGCACCCCCCACCCTGTTCATGGTACCTATGAGACATTTAACTGAAGACCTTCCCCTAGCCCTGCCCTAGAGGGTGAGTGTTCCATCTTCCCTCTGCCCTCCGGGCTCTGCCCCTCCCCATCCTTTCAAGTGGAGCCCCAGGTGACCTAAGAACCCAATTTGCCCCCTGATAACAGATCACCAACTGCTCATGGAGTAACTCGCTATTCTAAGGCTGAGGATGTACACTGCTGGGGCTTCAGGGGTCAGCCAGGTGGCATGGTTAGTCTTTGACACCAGTCCACTGCCTGAAGTACAAGGCATGTGCAGTGCCAGGCTGGAAGGCCACCCCTTTTCCTGTTTGAGTCAAAAACTAGCACAGTAGCAAAAATTAGGGCAGATAAGAGCCAACACATCAGAAACTTCCAGAGGGGAATATCAGATGGTTACCAAATCCTATTCATAGTTTTCTTATTGACTGTTCTTCAGATGGCCAAATTGGGGTTTGAGTGCCTATGGAGAGAGCCATCCCGGGCTGCTTGCCTCCCTTGGCACAACCGTGTTTCCGGCTGATACCAGGAATGGAGGTCTACAGGGGTGTGTGTTTTGTGGAAAAGGAAAGGCTGGCAGGAGTTAGAGCCACCCTGCCAGAGAGCCAGGGAGGCACACAAAAAAGGTCCACAACACAGCTGGCCGGGCAGCCTCTGAGACCAAGCCCCAGCCAAGCAGAAGCAGCCTTGGATTACACTCTGAAATGTGCAGAGTGATTCTGAAGACATGTTTTATTTTACTAGATTGGGGAGCTGCTGTATTTTCAAAGTTATCTACCATAAAATAGCATTATCTGGAAGCTCTGTTTTTGTTTACATTTCTGTATCCCTGGGTTCACTGCCAATCTGAGGCAGTCATGAGGTTCTGTGTTGTTTGTTTTATTTTATAACTTTCCCCCTAACTATTAAAACCAGAGAACTAATGATTTCTGTGGTGTTTTTGTTTGCTTGATTGTTTTTTGTTTTGTCTTATGAGCCTTCTTTATCCCAAGCAGAGAAATTAAACAACTGATGGATTCTATCTTCAATCCAAACTTTCCCCCTTTGCAGTTATCAGTGGGCTCAATTCAGGATAAGAACCTGACCCTGATAGATTAGATGACCTTCCCAGGGTCTTGCTTGGGCAGTCGATGCTTGCTGATCCCTAGTCTAGCCAGCTCTCCCCTTAGCAGTAGCAGTAGTAGGGCCTCCCTGGATTCTCCTCATCCTGATTGACAGCTGCCACCAGGCAACTTGGGGTTCCAGTCTTGGCTTCTCTTCAAAGCACCCTTCCAGCATTAGACCACAAAAGGAGCCATGTTCCCCAAATAGGGTGCAAAGTTCGTGTCACTTCCAGTCAGACAGTGAGGGATGGCCACACTCTGTGTGCACCTACCCAGGGATAGCCACTCTTGCACAGCACTTGTCCTGTGCCTTGCGTATTTGTAAGTGTTCTGTGTGTATCGGCTCACTGGATCCTTCAACCACCCTCTGCGATTGGTTCAGTTTTCACTCCCTAGCCAGGCAGAGAGGTTAGGTAGCTGCCCCAATGTCTCACAGCTAACTCGTAGTGGAGCTGGGATACCATCTAGACAGCCTGGCTCAAGGTCTGTGCTGGGAAGCACTATACACATTGCTGACAGAGAAACTAGGGAGAACTTAGCAGGACACCTGTAGACCATTAGACTAGTAAGAAATTTACAGATCATCTGGGCTTTCCCATCACTTACCCAAGATCACTCTGGGGCCTCTGGTCCCTGACCCCAGCTCAGTGTTCTTCTATCACTGGCCAGATGGACAAGGAGGAGAGGGCGGCGAGGAAGAGAAGAGATACCAGGCCTGGGCCACTGGCATGAGAAGTGGTGGTACCAGGTGCTGTGAGAAGAAAGGAAAACATGGATCTGACCTCTAGGGCTCCCTGTGAGCAGCCCAGAGGATTGAAAGGCCCCTAACCCTCCTGTCTCTTTAAATAGGTAGACCTGGAGTATTTCTCTTATCTAGACAAGGCTCCCATGGGAAAGGCTACCCAAATCCCTTTGTACTATCCCTAGCTACAGAGCTTATTGTTGGGAACTCAGATGATTAACTGCTATATGAACTTTAGGAAGTGAAGGGACATTCAGGAGGCACAGGGTCTGTGAGGCTTCCCTGACCCTCTGCTCTCTCATTCTTCAGATGAGCACTCAGGTGGGACAGGAGCCCTTTCCCGGCAGGGCTGGGCCAGACAGTCACATTTTGAGGGCCTATGCTCTCCCAACTCTAAGATGGGTGCCATGGGGGGAGCAAGTAAAGTGCAGTGTCAGGGGCCCTCTCATGACCAGGAAGTAGGTCCTGACAGGGAAAAAAGAGAGATTAATACAAGTCAATATTTAAGGACAAAAGATGTGGTAGGACTACAAATGCTGAGGAAACCAAAAGGGAGTCTTTTGCATCCCAAAGAACAAAGACTTCCTAGAAGAGGTGAGGGCTGGAAAAAGAGGAGGATGAGAACAGAACAGAGGAGGAGAGAAGGTGTTACAGGGAGGAAAAGGTGGGATCAGGCACCAGTGTTGAGTAGGGCAACAAGGGCTGGGCAAGGGGCCTTTCTGTTTCCACTAACAGTCAGATGCCCCTTTCATCCAGGCAGTCACGCCACCTGTGTGCTATGGTAGCTCACACCTATAATCCTAGCACTCTGGGAGACGGAGGCAGGAAAATCCCTTGAGGTCAGGAGTTCGAGATCAGCCTGAGCAAGAGCCAGACCCAGACTCTACCAGAAATAGAAAAAAATTAGTGTGATGTGGTAGTGTGTGCCTTTGGTACCCAGCTACTCAGGAGGCTGAGGCAGGAAGATTGCTTGAACCCAAGAGTTTGAGGTTGCTGTGAGCTATAATGACACCAGGGTGACAGAGCAAGAGTGAGACTCTTGTCTTATAAAAACAAAAACAAGATTCTGAGAGACGGACAGCTGGGTGGGACCTAGCCAGCAGGGTGGGGCAAACTGTACAACAACAGGGACTACTAAGGTTTATGGTCTGTATATGAATGTAGTTTCTAGTTCTTTGTAATGAGCATATATTATTTTTATAATTAGGACAAAATAAAGTTATAAAACAATTTAAGGGCTTTAGTTGTTTAGTTGACTTGAAGTTCAACACATCAACAGAAGGTCCATGCCCCTACCCCCCACCCCAGCCAAAGAGCTAGGATGACCTTGGACACCATCAGAAGTGGCATCAACAGCCAAGGTAGCCTCCCTGCACTGTGGGCCACTCACCAGAGTCAGCAGTGGCAAGGGAAGAGCAGAGGTCTCAAATTAGGAGCCTGCATGAGTGACAGCCTCTCAGTTTCCCTATCAGGAATACCAGGTGGGTTCATAAATTTGAAAGTCCCTCTCTGCTATAAAGATTTTACATGTTTAGGTCCCATCTTGATAAAACTCTTGAAGAAACTCACTGACAAATGGCAGTAGAGGTGAGGCGGCTGAGGGTCCTGAAGGTTCCTGGAGTACGAGGGCCAACGAATATAGGGGGAAGGGCTTGCCAGGGTGGGTGGAGGTGGGGGCAGTCCTGGACAGAAGTGTGAGAATGAGAGGTGCTTGTCCGACATTTTAGGGAGCAGAAGACTCTTTCAAGCCCTGGCTGCCCAGAGGGAACCACCCAGTACCTGCACTGGGACTAGAGCTGCCATCTGGGCTGGGAGCCATTTGTTAGGACTCGCTATTCATTTCTGGGACTGCAGCTGGACCAAGCAACCTCTGAGACCTTCTACCCACAGAATTCTATAAAGTCAGGCCAAAGTTCAGCGGTCATAACTTGCAGGCCTAATCACCATTCCCAGGAAGGCAGAGCCAGGGTAAAGTGCTGGTGAGCAGAATGGGACGGAAAGAAAGCACTGGGAAGAGTGAGATCAGCTGCAAGACTGCTCTCGGCAGTGGGCTGGGGTGGCGAAGACCTGGGCTTGCCCTGCAGACCTGAACTCGCGTAGGCAGGGGCTCCCCTGTCTCTGTTGCGGGCCCTGTCTGTCCTCTGGGTCCACTCCCTCAGGCAATGGCAGTCCCTGACCTAGGATGTCCCATCCTCCTCACACAAAGGCAGGATGCTTCCCTTTGCTCCTCAGGCCACCCCCTTCCCAAGTGTCTTGAGTGGGTTTTGCTCCACCCTCCACCCCAGGCCAAGAGGGCCCAGCTATCTCTGTTCCTATAGCCAGTCAGCTCCTGCTCTGCTCCAACCACCCTCCTCACCTGGCAGCTCTGCCCTGGTAGAGGTGTCACAGGGGCGGCAGGCTCACTGACACGTGGGGGCTCAGGCACCACGCCACTGTAGGCTGATGCTGGGGTAG